CCCCCCTGCGGCCTCTCCTCTCCCGGGTAAGACTTTCTCACTTTTCCAAACGGTCTCCTTGTCATTTAGTTCCCGTTAGTTTCCGGAGGAGAATCCTGATTTCTGAGGGGGAGACGGGAACGAGGACGTAGGTTCACAGTTGGAGGGGGTGGCGGGGGGCAGCCGCCGGGTCTCACGCCCGGTCCGGGCTCTGACTGGGCCCCTGCGCCACCTCCCGACGTGGTCTCATGGCCGTACCTGCCGGGGGCCTGGGCACCTGAGTGTTTCTGCTGCAGAAGGAGAACGCTGCCCAGGAAGGTGGTTGTTCTGGGGGAGCCACAGGGAGGAATTGGGGGGAAAACAACTCTGAGACCCCGAGACCCCGAGCGCACACGCCCCATCGCCGCGGAGTGGTTTCCCAGGGCGGTCACTGGTGAAAGGCGAGGAGCGAGTCCACGCAAAGGGCCAGGGTGGCGGAGGCAGGGGCGAGGGGCCCCGAGCGCAGCCTTGGGTCTCGCCCAGACAGGGATGCCGCGCTCCGGACGTCACTCCTGCTGTGAGGCGGAGAGACAGACTCACAGACCGTGGCAGCTCTCGGGCTCCTGGCCGAGCCGCCGGACTCGCTCCTCTGATGGGGGAGGCGGGCGGTGCCGCAGGTGTGGCTGTCCTCTCCATCCTGCAATGAGACCCTCGCTCCCAGGTGGCACGTGGCAGAGACAGACAGACAGGCGCGCTTCTGCCTAGGGAGCACAGGGTCCGTGGTCGGAACAGAGTGGACTCACTGTTTAAGCCTTGACTCGGGGAGCTGGCATCCAGAATGCACAGTTCATGTTCCGGATGGGCCAGCCGCCCCCGCTGTCCGTAGGGGACAGAGGCACCTTGGGGTGAGAGGCCACAGGGCCGCCGCGTGGACCACTGCGGGCAGCTTGCTGAGTGAGCGTGGACACGCGTTTGCCCATGTCTCCCAGTCCCCCAGAGAGCCCGCTGACATCCCTCGCTGCCCCTGTACCGGGCGGTCACAGGTCGTGTGTCCAGCTGCGAGCGGCCGTGTGACCAACACAGGGGGGTGCTGTGCTCAGTGACCCAGTGCACACACTCCTCGCACCCACCTGGCAGCAGGCACGTTAAAGGGCGACTCCCCACCCTGCAGATGGGGGACCCACACAGAGAGGCTCGCCGGCGCCCCAGCCCTGGGCCCCCCACTTCCCCAGTGACTCCTCGGGGCTGATGGTGAAAGCAGGTGTCCCGTTCCCTGGGCCCCTCCCCCTGGAGAGACGGGGCCGTTGACGAACATTTCTGGAGAGGCGGCTCCTTCAGCACCGAGACCCCAATTCGCTTGGAGTCCTGCCTGGGGAGAAATCGGGCCCAGGGTTTGGGCTCAGGACCGGGGGGCCGGCGGGGGTTAACTGCAGCCGCCACAGCTGCCAGGTCTCCTGACTCCTGGCCCAGCCTCTGCTGAGGCGGCCAACTGACAATCCCCGGGAACGAACGGAAAAACAGGCCGCGGGGCCGTGCCAGCGAGGGAGACGTGTCCAAGGCGTGTGGTTTGTTTTCTGTAGTGACGGTGCTCTGCTCTGAGCTCATTCCTCACGCGTGTGCACTTGGTGTTCACTGTGTCTCAGTCGGTCATGCACAACTCGCTGTCGTGGCGATTTCCACATGCCTGGGGGTCACGTCCACACGCTGACGTTTCTCCAGACCCGACTTCCTCGGTCAGGTCCTGGCAGCACCCCGAGCAGCGAGGCGAGGACTGTGCACACGAGACGGGAGCAGGAGCACTTACCTCCTGGCTCATGACGACGATTTATAACACAAACATCCAACGCGCTCAGCACAGGGCCGGCCACAATGCTGGCTTCCTGCCAATGGTCACGGGGTAGGAAGCCGAGTCCGCGCTGAGGGCTGCACTGTGACTCACCGGCTCTCATGTTTGTAGGTGCCGGCGGCCGCCAGGCGGGATGCTCTGGGCGCTGGTCCTGTCGGCCCTCTGGGCCGCCTGTGGAGCTCAGGGTGAGTGGGCGGGGCCGGAACCTGCGCTGGGGAGGGGGGTCATCCGAGGGCGGGGGCCTGGATACAGTGAGGTTGTGGGTCATATGCTGGCCCATCAAGGGGACCAGCCGTTTTGGGGACCCCCCCTTTGAGGCTCTACAGGAGGCACTGCACCCGTGGGGAGGGACGGGGGCCTGGGTGTGTCGGCGGCCTCGTTCGTTTCTGGCACCGAGTAAGGACGCCGGCCCCAGCGCCGTGGCTGTAACCCCGCTCGCTCCCTCGGGCAGCCGGTGACCAGGACGAGGACACGGCCTTCGACCTTTTCAGCATAAGCAACATCAACCGCAAGACCATCGGGGCCAAGCAGTTCCGGGGGCCCGACCCCGGCGTGCCGGCCTACCGCTTCGTGCGGTTCGACTACATCCCGCCGGTGAGCGCGGACCAGCTGGGCCGGATTGCCCGGCTCATGCGGCAGAGGGAGGGCTTCTTCCTGACGGCCAGCCTGCGGCAGGACCGCAAGTCGCGGTGGCTCTCGAGGGCCCCGGCGCGCACAGGCAGTTCGAGCTGGTCTCCAACGGCCCGGCCGACACGCTGGACCTCACTTACTGGGTGGACGGCGCCCAGCACGTGCTGTCCCTGGAGGACGTGGGCCTGGCCGACGCCCAGTGGAAGAACGTCACCGTGCAGGTGGCGAGCGAGACGTTCAGCCTGTACGTGGGCTGCGCCCTGATCGACAGCTTCACGCTGGACGAGCCCTTCTACGAGCAGCTGACGACGGACAAGAGCAGGATGTACGTGGCCAAAGGCTCCGCCCGGGAGAGCCACTTCCGGGTGCGTATGCGCCGGCCAGGGGCCCGCAGAGCTGTGGGTGCGCTGCCAGTGGGCCATCTCCTGATACGAGGCCTGTGTCGGAGTAGGTCAGGCACACGCACACACACACGTGCACACAGGTCACACACAGTCGTGCATGTGTGGGCATGCAGACATGTACAGCCACTTGATGTACTCATGCACACCCACATGTACACCTGTGCACACAACCACACTTGAGCACCACACCCTTGCACACACGTTCACATGATGCACACCTACGCCCACACCTGCCCACCCACACCTGCATGCACACACACACACCCACACGCACACACACCCGCACGCGCGCACACACCTACACACACCTGCACTCACACATACACACACCTGCACATGCACGCACACACACGCCAGGACAGGCAGAGCGAGGGCGGCAGGTGCACTTTCTCACCTGCACAAACAGCGCTGATGTTCGGAACGAGGCTGATGTGATCGAGGGGTCGGGCCAAAACGTTCTGGGACCAGGGCCGGCCTCCCTGTGCTGAGCCCCCGTCTGCCTCGGTGCCGACGTGAGGGGAGGGGGATGAGCAGCTGTTTCTCCAAGGAAAGGCAGGAAGGAACACCATGGGCATCTTCGTTAAACGCCTTCGGGAAGAGGGTCTTTTTAAAGCCACAGGCGTGCAAGGACCCACGAAGGAGGGCGAGCATGTCGGTCTCTCCCAGGCACCTGTGTTCTCTGGAAATAAGTGTGTGTGTCACTCTGTTATTTGAGTAAAAGGCCTATAGGTGTTGCTAAGTTAATCTCTGGTGGCCAGGGTCAGGGTCAGGATTACAGTTAGGGTTAGGGTCAGGATTAGGGTTAGGTTCAGGGTCAGAGTAAGGGTCAGAGTTAGGGTTAGGGTCAGGGTTAGCGTTGGGATCAGGGTTAGGGTTGGGGTCAGGGTTAGCATTGGGGTCAGGGTTAGCATTGGGGTCAGGGTTAGCGTTAGGGTCAGGTTTAGGAATGGGGTCAGGGTTAGGGTTAGGGTCAGGGTTAGGGATGGGGTCAGGGTTAGCATTGGGGTCAGGGTTGGGGTCAGAAAGCTCCCGTGGCAGAAGCTGACCCAGCCCGACGTGCACTTACCACCCAGGCTGCGGGAGACACTTCATCTCATCTCCTTGCTGGGTCTGTGGTTGGACCCGCAGACGTTCCCAGGACATTAAGCGGTGGCTGTTCTCCTCGGAGGCCTCGCCAGTAGAGGACAGTCCAGGACACCCATCAGGCTGAGCTCAGAGGCAGTTCCCAGCTCCCGTGCCCCCTCCTTCCTCTGTAAACTCCCACTGCCCATCATGCCCCAGCCGCGCCCACAGGGACCTGCAAGGATGCCCAGTCCACAGGGGCCAGGGCCGAGCGTGCAGCACAGACACACCCCCATGACAGGAGACCTCGAGTTTTCATTTCGTCCACGTAGGGAGGCCTCCCTGGTGTGGAGTTTGCCCATCCCCCGTGTTTCTCCTTGTCACACCTGCAGGGGTTGCTGCAGAATGTCTACTTAGTGTTTGAAGATTCGGTGGAAGACGTTCTCAGAAGGAAAGGCTGTCCACAAAGCCAGGGAGGTAGGTGTGCTCTGAACAACACACTCCCTGTTGTGGGTGGGTTTCCGCTTGTGTGTGTGTGTGTGTGTGTGTGTGTCAGAGAGAGAGAGAGAGAGAGAGAGAGAGAGAGAGAGAATGAGAATGAGGGCCAGTGAGAATTCACAGTATTTGAGTAGATGCCACCTGAACAGAACCACGGTGTGCGTGTGCGTGTGTGCGTGGGGGGGCAGGACAAGGACAGCCGACCCTGCTTAGTCAGGACAAGCAGCAGAGGAGGTGTCACGGTGGGAACTCGGTGGAGGAAGAGGCGCGCGCTGTCAGAACGTGTGCCCGAGTCAGGAATGTCCGCGGGGGAACGGGACGCGGAGCCCACGTGGAGGCGTAAGACCCTGTCCCGTGTGGGTCCCCAGGACCATCCAACGTCTGTCCCCCTGCTGGGCGGGCTCAGCGCTGAGTCCGAGGGGGTCAGGAGTGGACGGTCCTCCCGCTAAATGTGGGGCCGGGGGCTGTGCCCAAGTGGTTCCGACCAGGCTCTCCGCCACGTCCCCGCAGCGGAGGCCAACGCCATCAGTGAGAACACGGAGACGCTGCACCTGAGCCCGGCGGTCACCACGGCGTACGTGGGCCCGAGCGCGGCCCAGAGGCCGGGCGTGTGCGAGCGCTCCTGTGAGGAGCTGGGCAGCATGGCCAGCGAGCTGTCGGGGCTGCGCGTCGTCGTCAACCAGCTGCACGAGAGCCTCCGGAAAGTGGTGGGTGCGGCCCAGGCACAGCCCCCCTGCACGCACGGCTGAGGGCCCAGCCCATCCTGACTGCCCAGGGTGGGTGGTCCGTGGGGGTTGAGGGAATGGGCATAGCAAGACCGAGGAGACCTTCTGGAATTTTCCACCAGGAGCGTGGGGTGGGTGGGAACATGCTAAGGCAGCCAGCAGTGAGCACGTGTCAGGTGAAGTGACACCGTGAGGTGTGAGCGGCCTGTGCGTTGCGCAGTTTGCACACCCGCGCCCTCCATGGTGCACGTCTCAGCGAGTTGCTCTGCACACCTGGCTCCCTCTGGGCCCGCAGAGCTGTGGGGAGGGACGTCTTTCCCGGGAGCACGGCCACCAAGCGCTCCTGTCCATCCTTAACCTGCCCCGATTTCCAGTCCAACGACAACCAGTTCCTCTGGGAGCTCATTGGGGGCCCCCCGAAGACCAGGAACATGTCCGCGTGCTGGCAGGACGGCCGGTTCTTCGCGGAAAACGAGACCTGGGTGGTGGACAGCTGCACCAAATGCACCTGCAAGGTGAGGCCCGCGGCCTGTGCTCCTCAGCCCCTGGCACTGGCAGCCGGCCTTGGCGGGCCGACGGGTGTGGGGGAGCAGAGGTGGCTACATGAACGCCTCTCTTTCCTCGCAGAAATTTAAAACCGTCTGCCACCAAATCTCCTGCCCGCCGGTGACCTGCGCGAACCCGTCGCTGCTGGAGGGCGACTGCTGCCCGTCCTGCTTCCACTGTGAGTGCGGGGCGGCCTCGCTGTCCTCTGCTCGGGGGGTGGGGGGAGCTCAGGCCACGCGTGCCCAGGGACGCTTCACCCGCTGTCCACCCTCGCTGCCCAGTGATCAAAGCGCCGCAAGGCCTTGAATTAGGACCGAGGGCTTCTGTCCCGGCCGGTCCCTCCTGCGCCATCACCAGGGGAGGTGTGACCGGCCTGTGTCCCTCCCAGCGGCCGACGGCGAGGAGGGCTGGTCCCCATGGGCCGAGTGGACCCAGTGCTCTGTCACCTGTGGGCCTGGTACCCAGCAGAGAGGAAGGTCCTGCGACGTCACCAGCAACACCTGCCTGGGCCCCTCCATCCAGACGCGGGCCTGCAGCCTGGGCAAGTGCGACCACCGCAGTGAGTCGCCGGGTCCCGGGGGTCTGCTCCGAGGGATGGGGTTCGGGAGGCACCGGCCTGTCCGTGGGCTCCGGCTGGTCCCCTGCCCTCCAGACCGCTGCTGATGCCCACGCCTCTCGTGTGCTAGTCCGGCAGGATGGCGGCTGGAGCCACTGGGCGCCCTGGTCCTCCTGCTCCGCGACCTGTGGGGTCGGCAACATCACGCGGATCCGTCTCTGCAACTCGCCGGTGCCCCAGATGGGGGGCAAGGGCTGCAAAGGCAGTGGCCGTGAGACAAAAGGCTGCCAGGGAGCCCCGTGTCCAAGTGAGTGGGACGAGGCGGGTGGGCATGGGCACGTGGGGGCAGCTGGGACCAGGGCTGGGCAGAGGTGGAAGCTGCCCGGTCCCCTTGCTGGCTGGCCTGGAGGCAGCCCTGGGCGTCGATGCCCAGCACCCGGGCTGGGCGCTGCCCTCGTCTGCGCGAGTGCAAGGAAGTCACATTAACCTGCACCAAGGGGACCAGAACCAGAGCAGGCGCAGCGGGCGCCCAGAACGAGGTGCTGGACACGGCCGGCCGCCAGGCGCAAGTCCAGGACGAGAGAATGTGGGTCCCAACAGCAGGACCTCCTCCGGGAGCCTGAGTCCTGGGCGTCCTGTCACCCAGAGAAGGGAGTGGGGTGATGGGAAGGGGCCGTGAACACGAACCTCAAGGTCACACCCTCTCCCCACGTGACCGAGGTCCCCCAGCCCCGTCACCTCTACACCCGAAGGGGCTGCGATCTCTCTTCCGAGAGGAAACTACAAACCAACCGAGACCCTCGCCCCGTGGCCCGACCTCAGGCACCCAAGGGCTTCTCACCA